AACCGTTTATTGAACCAAGGTTTTATATTTAGGTTGGGTCTAATATGGGTTAGACCCAACATTTTAGGTTGAACCTAGTTTTATAGTTTAGGTTGGATTTAATATGGCTTAGACTCAACATTTAGGGTTAGTTTCAAGTTAGGTTGAACCTAGGTTTAGGGTTTAGGTTGATTCTAATATAAGTTAGAACCAACATTTAGGGTTAGGTTCAAGTTAAGTTGAACTTAGGTTTAGTGTTTCGGTCATGTCTAATATGAGTTAGACCTAACATTTAGGGTTAGGTTCAAATTAGGTTGAACCAAAATTTAGGGTTTAGGTTGGGTCTAATATGGGTTAGAACCAACATTTAGGGTTACGTTCAAGTTAGGTTGAACTTAGGTTTAAGGTTTAGGTTGGGTCTAATATGGGTTAGACCAAACATTTAGGGTTAGGTTGGGTCTAAGGTGGTTATACCCAACACCTAGGGTTTGGTTAAGTATAATCAAAATGAGAAAAATTAAGTCTGAGATTTCAAAAAATTGTTTCTATTTCTCTTAACATACAAAACATGTTTCAATTTACCTTGAGAATGAAAGTAAAGCAAAGCAACAAGCAACACAGAAACAAATCTAAGGGAAATGATGCCAATCATCAAACTTCAAGAGCTTCTTTTAACAGGATAACATCCATCAGTATTTGTTCTTTCTACTATAAATAAGAAGGAGTCTTGAAATAAGGAAAATTGTTAATCGACATGAAAGCTCAATGCCAGTGCTTTTAATCTTTACCTGCAAGTTATTTCCTCTCAAAAAATTTCCTACGAGTTGGGAATAAATGCTTTAAAATTTTTTTAACAAATGAGAAACAATACATAGGCAGAGAGAGATTAAAGAATAACTTGCATATGTTTAGGTTCGATCTCATATATCAACTTCCCTCAAGTTATACTCATGAAGTTTAGTTGGCTTGTAAGAAAACATGACAATGGCATATCCATTGTAACTTCAAAAATTAAAGCTCGTTTGAATACAATTTTTAAATTTATTTTATTAATTTTTTTTTAATTTAAAATAAAATATATTTAATTTGTTAAAATAAAATAAAGTTGACCTTAAAAACATACAAAATATTTAGCTTACATTTAAATATTATTATATGTCGGAAGATTCACGGCAGTAGAGTGATAATTTAACATTTTAGTATTGTTTGAAAATATAGCACACACACAGATACAAAAAATTAGTAGGAGACACTAAGACTTTGTTCGTAGAAAAACTCTAAAAAGGGTTAAAATCACACTGTCTAGCCCAGTCAAAGTAATCTACTCTATGTTGGTAGCTACATAAGGCAACTATTCTCATGAATTAGAGAATATGGAATTACAAAGCTGATAATCACAGATGTACAATAGTAGTTTATACATTATAGTCATAATTAGACTACAACAAATATATGTATGAGCTATATTGTTAATAGTTGGTCATAAAGGTCATAGTTGGTTGCTACTCAAAAAGTACTTGGTCATAAAGTCAGTAGATGGTGACTACAATAGCGGCAATTAGCCAATAAAACTATAGCTAGAAGCTACAATAATAGTATTTGACCACAAAGACCATAGTTTATAGTTGAAACAGTGGTTTTTGACCACAACGACCATAGTTGAAAGTTATAACAGTAGTTTTTAGCCACAAAGACCATAGTTGGTTGTTGCACATGCAATAATTGACCACAAAGACTGTGATTGGAAGCTGCAAATCGTCAACTGGCCATAGAGACCATACTTGGTGATTGCAAGCGTCAGTTGGTCATAAAGGTTATAGTTGATCACATAGTCATAATTAGTGACTGTACTGTCATCAGTTGGCCACATGAGTCATAATTGATGATTGCAATATTGAGAGTTAATCATAAAGATGGTAGTTAGTAACTGAAATAACATCAATTGGCCACATAGGTCATTGTTGGAAGTAATAACAATAATAATTGATTATATAGACTATAGTTGGTGACTACAATATCGTTAGTTGATCACATAGGTAGTGACTACAACATTGTTAGTTGGTCATAGAGATTGTAATTTGTGACTGTAATAGCGTAAGTTGGCCACAAAGGTCATTTTTTAAAGTTGTGACAGTAGCAATTGACTAGATATACCATAGTTAGTGCGTGCAATAATGTTCGTTTGTCACAAAGATTGTAGTTGGCATATTGGCTGCAAGCAGGGGCCTTCAAAGGGTGGTGGTAAGCGATGGCGAGCAATGACTCTCAATCATGGTTAATAGTGGTTGGCGACTACGTAGGTCAGAAGTTATTTCTGTGTCTTCAATATGGGTGTTAAAATTAAAATCGTATTTATGATACAAATTTATAAGTAGAGGTCGCTGGTGGCTAGAAGTCGGTGATTACAGGGTAGCGACCAAAGGTCGACGATCACGAAGGTCAAAATTTATCGCATGGTCTTATGTATGAGTGTTATGCAGTAGAATTGTATTTGGGATGCTACGTTTGCAAGCAGGGATCATCGGTGTCAGGAGGTCTGCAATGACAAGTAGGGACTAGTGGGGTTGGTGGATGGTGGCTGATGAGTGATGGTCAAAGGTGTCCGACGGGCAGTGATCGACAGTGTTCGGCAGAAATGGAGGTCAGAAGTTATCGCTGGGTCTTCTATCTATAATAAGTTCCGAAATTCCTCTTTTTTTCTCACCCTTTCAAGTGAAGCGATGAGGTCTATTTATAACCTTTAGATTAGGGGCATTTTGTTCTTTTAGCGAATAATTTTCCCGACCACCTAATCAGATAACAATATTGATCTCTCTAGATCATAGGGGTTTTTTGATGATTAAAATGTCTTAATGGCCTCAGAATTTAGCAATCTTAAGCTTGTTGGATTTGTCTCGTCGATTTGCTTAGTTTGATTATAAATATGTCAATATATACTTGAATTGAACATTTGATATCATTGGGTTAGTTTTGTCAACACAGTCAGTTTGACTATAACCTTGTTGAAGGGTCCATTTGGGGTAGCTTATTTGGTGCGGTGGCATTTTGAAAACGCATCTGAACTGTTTGGGTAAATTGCGTTTTGGCAGCTTATGCATTTGAAAACAGCATTATCACACGACACCTATATAGGTGCGGTGGGAAAGCAGCATTATCACACGACACCTATATAGGTGCGGTGGCAGCTTTCTAGCAGCGGCCTGACTTTTCCAAAAAAAAGTAAAAATTTATAATAGCCACCACACCTAGCTTATCAATATATTATTTTTAATCAGCTTATCAAAAAATTATTCAATAAGCTGCAGCTGTCCCAAACAGACCCGAAGTTGGGGCCGTCGATGATTTTGAATTTGAATCTAGAATAATTATTGCTCAAAAATGGTTTTGAGAATTGTACTAGATGATGAATCGAGTATATTTAAAAAATAAATTGATTTATTTTCAAAAATAAAAACCCAAAATATGTAAAAAAATACACTAACAGATATTATTGTGTTATAGAAATTTGGTAGAAGTAGAATGAATCTCTTATGATTTAGCTTTGCACAAAGATCTTGCACACAAATATAAAAAGAATAGGTTATAGAAGACACCAAAGTTTTCATGCAAAAATCCCTAAAAAAATTAAAAAAAACATTGAGAAGAATAATCCACTATGTATTTAATGTTATAGAAGTTTACTATTCTCTAAAACTAGAGAAGATGTGACAATAGAGTTATGAACATATATTTATATTTTTGTTGCTATAATAGAGATAAACATCAATATTAACTGAGTTACAATGATCATAAAATAGCAACCTAGAGATTATAAACGGGCAAAAACTGTCACTTGCAGTGGTCAATGAAAAATGTAAGTGCTTGTTGCCTTTCAGTTTTCTCTAAGAGTGAAATTAATGTTTAGTTTTATTCTCCATTCATGTTGAAAATCTGATTCTAATTTTAGAGTCTAGAGAATTATATTTTGATGAATTTAATCAAAATCTCACAACATTCCATCAGGTGATTTATGTTTATTCCATTAGTTAAAAATCATTTTTTCAACATATAAGTATCCTAATAATCTCAGAATTGAATGAACTTAATATAGTTGGATTTCTCTCGTCAAACTACTCAATTCAACTATAAACATATCAAATTCAAATATCGTTTAGCATTTTAATTAATGCTTCAAAGTTTCTACTTATACTTGGAGTTCTCGATTTGGGTCTATTCAAACTCAGAATGGACTACCAATTATGTTAGGGGGCTATTTGGTCCGCAACAAATTGAGTGCATTGCAATTTTTTCACATAGGTTTTAAAAATTCAAGTATTTGATTGAAAGGAAAATATATGCAGTGTAAGATTTCAATGTAGTCGGAATTAGTTAGATTTAGAAGAAATTTCAAATAGACTACTTAGCTGCTGCCCACCAGTCATCGTCGACAACTCCACCGGTGGACGCCCGTCACCCCCGCTACTGTCAGTGACAGCCACCCCCGTTATTGTCCGCTCGTCACTACCCATTGCTATCGGCCACAACCACTCCCACCATTGGTCCCATGTCATTGTCCGCTCAAAAAAAAAAAAGAAAAAAATGCAAACCAAACAAAAAATATAAAATTCTGTAGATATTTTACGCTGAATCAAACAACTTTAAAATATTTTAAATACAATACATTATTTAACATTGTATTTCTTTATCAGCACACCAAACAATCCTTTAATGACATTTTGTTTATCTCACTTAAATATTCAATCTGACTATATAAATTTACTGAAGTAGGAGCTCAAATGATTATGTAGTTGGATATGAAAATTATTTATCCAAATGGCATTGAAATTTGTTCTTTCTTGCTTAAGTGATTGTTTAAAAAACAAAAAAAAAAAACAGAATATAAAAATATCCCAAATCTGTGCTAAACCGATGCATCACAATTGACTCATCTCGGCTGTAATGTATGGTAAATTCAAATTTTTCATTCAACATGCATCCCAAATAGACAAAAATCTCCGAAATCAACCACAAGAAACTTCAGATAAATAACAAGACAAACAAAATCTAGCATCTGATACAGCTATTACAGCACAAACTGGGCAAACTAACAAAGCTTACATCTACTAAAGATCAAGGAAGAAGAAAGATATAAAAAGGAGAACCACATAGAATGATTCATCAGTCTAGCTGTTCAAAGATTTAAGCAAAGCGCATCAGATTGCTCAGCATAGATGAAAACTAACAGGCTAATATATTGTTCTACCATCTCCCTCCGTGATAATATCTTTAAATGCTCCTCCACTTGGGATCATCGGTAAGACGTGCTCCTGGTGCGGGACGATGACATCCAGTAAGTAAGGACCTGGAGTCTCCAACATCTCCCTTATGGCTTCCCTCACTTGGCTCTTTTTAGCCACACGAGCGCCAGGAATATTGAAGCCCTTTGCAATAGCTACAAGATCTGGATATATATCTGTCTCATTAGAAGGATCACCCAGGTATGTATGCGCTCGATTTGCCTTGTAGAAGCGATCCTCCCACTGAACAACCATGCCTAGATGCTGGTTATTCAAAATCATGACCTTTACAGGGAGGTTCTCGATACGAATCATCGCCAGCTCCTGCAGATTCATAAGAAAGCTTCCATCTCCATCTATGTCCACAACAGTAACACCTGGATTTCCGACTGCAGCGCCAGCTGCCGCCGGAAGCCCAAAACCCATCGCCCCTAAGCCTGCGGAGGACAGCCACTGGCGTGGTCTTTTGTATGTGTAGTACTGCGTAGCCCACATTTGGTGCTGACCGACACCGGTGCTTATGATAGCCTCGCCATTTGTCAGCTCATCAAGCACCCGGATTGCGTACTGGGGAGGAATTGTATCTGCGAATTCCTTATAGCTCAAGGGATGAGCTTTCTTCTGCTGATCCAGCTCCTCCCTCCATGACGAAAAGTTGAGTTTTTTATCCAGACCTGTTTCCTGAATTAAGGAATTCAAGGCTTCTAGCGACTGCTTCATATCAGCACAGATGGATATATGGGGCTGCTTGTTCTTTCCAATCTCTGCTGGATCAATGTCAATGTGCACGATCTTCGCCCGGCTTGCAAAAGCCTCCACCTTTCCAGTAACCCTGTCATCAAACCTCACTCCAAATGCGAGAAGAAGGTCAGACTTATCCACAGCGTAGTTGGCATAAACGGTGCCATGCATTCCAAGCATTTTGAGAGAGAGAGGAGCGTCGGTAGGGTAGACTCCCAGACCCATCAGCGTACTTGCCACAGGGATTCCCGTGAGCTCGACAAAACGTCGAAGCTCTGGGCCGGCATTATTACACCCTCCCCCAACATAGAGGACCGGGCGGTGGGACCCGGACACCACGCGCAACACCTGTTCGATGAAATTTCGCTGAGGAGGTTTCGGGAGACGAGATAGATAACCTTGAAGACGAAGCGGAGGATCCCGGCAAGGGACAACGAGCTGCTGCTGAATGTCTTTAGGGATGTCGACGAGAACAGGGCCGGGACGGCCTGATCTTGCTAAGAAAAACGCCTCCTTTATCACACGAGGTATATCCTCGACGTCAAGGACAAGGTAATTGTGCTTGGTGATGGATCGGGTTACCTCCACAATAGGTGTTTCCTGGAACGCATCGGTGCCGATCATGCGGCGAGGGACCTGGCCAGTGATGGCTACGAGAGGGACGGAATCGAGAAGCGCATCGGCGAGACCGCTGACGAGATTGGTGGCGCCGGGACCGGAAGTGGCGATGCAGACGCCGGGGCGGCCTGTGGAGCGGGCGTATCCTTCTGCGGCGAAGATCTCGCCCTGTTCATGGCGGAGGAGGTGGTTGGTGATGGATGGCGAACGGGTTAGGGCTTGGTGGATCTCCAAGGATGCGCCGCCGGGGTATGCAAAGACGTCGGTGACGCCCTCAAGTTCTAATGATTCGACGAGAACGTCGGCACCTTTGCGGGGTTCGTCCAAGGAGAAGCGGTGGGATGGAGGTGGAAGGGTGGTGGACGGCGCGGGTTCGGTGGAGAATTGGGCAGAGATGGGGCGATGGATCTTAGAAATTACACGGGATTGGAGAGGGGTGAGATTTCTGGGGATGGGAGAAAGGAAGCGGGAAGAGGTGGAGGCAAGCAGGTCTTTGTTTCTGTTTCTGGATGCTGCGGAAAGGTTTAGTGCTGCCGTTCCGGCGACCGCCGCCGAAGAAGCCATAGGTAGACACAGCGAGAGTTTGTGGCCGAGATATTATATTGAGCTTCGCCCAGCTAAATTAGGGATGAATAAGAGGCTGAAATTGATTGGGCTGATTCTCAGAAACGTCTTCAATTTGGACCGGACTTGCGAGTTGACTGCTATTTAAATTGACTCGGAGAACAAAATGAATAATTTTGATAAAAAATTTACATACATATGGCTCAGTTCTAATTAATTTATTTATATAATATCTAAATTTCAATTGACATTTATAGTACCTTATTATTTATGTATAGAAACATTTATTTTATTTATGACATATTAAAATTGTAATATTTTTTTTTTTATGTGATGTAAAAGATTTTGATTTTAAAAAGGTAAACAAGCAATACTTTAGTGTTTAGATAGATAAGTACTTATGAATTGGGTAGTATGAATGTGAACTCTCCAATCCAAATTTTGCAAACCTTGAGATATTTACATCTCAAAAACTATATTGCAAGTTAGATATTAAATTGGACTAAATCATTTGAAATTATTTACGCCATTTTCACAATTTAAATATGATAGTTGAATATGATTTTAATATCAAAAATCGATGATGTTATTGTTATGTATACATAAAAAATATGGTTGAATGGATCTCGAGAAAATCCAATTGGTCTCGCTAATGAACACTAAAGGACATTGTGTTGGGATAGTCAAAATATGGAAACACCAAGCATCATTTTCTTCGGTTGGAAGTCTGAGTTAATATGAAAATGTGTCAGAATAATTTGTAATGTTTCTATTAAAATAGGGGTAAACATGTACTGAATGGAAGCACAGCCGAATATAGAAATAAATGACACCCAACTAAGGGATATTTGGTCATGACCATCTCCCTCAAACAATTCTGGTAGTCCTCACAAAGATCGCTAAAGGTCACTCCATGGAAAGCCTTTATGCTCCTTTATGAAGGTCCCTTGTCCGATGAGAGTTGCCCTTCATATTACAGTTTTACACCCTCTATCTGACGACCCAAGTTCACCTTAACGACATGAGGGTTTATACAAAGGATTCCATTGAGAGGGTCGACCGACTACATTTCAACTGACCGAATGTTTGTCAGCTGACCTAACACTATCAACCGATCTAACCGTGAGATTATCGGTTCATTAGATGCCCCTCTTCAAGCAGTTATGAATTCGAATGGTGCTAATGATAGTTATGATTATGAAAGGGTGTCATAATCGGTTACAAATATGAAAATGTGTCAGAATAACTTGTAATGTTTCTATTAAAATAGGGGTAAACATGTAATTTTATACTAGATGCCTTTGAAATCTATAAATAAGGGGTCATTTCTCCAATAAAGGACTATTAAATTTTATCTTGTCAAAGCACTTGTTGTTGTGCACTTTTTGTCTCTTTCTCAATCTCTCTCTCTCTTTATGTTTCTCTCGTCCTTCCAACGCTCTATACTTATTTGGATTCAACATCCTAAAAGGTACAGTGAGTGTGGAATCATGTCACCAACAAAAAAAGAAGCATGTCACTAGAAAGCAGAGAATTTGTTGAACAACGAATCTAAGAACTTATAGATCAAATGACATACTAGATGGTAGAATTGACCAGTGCGCTACTCGAGGGAAGAGCACAAGCTTCCCTAGAACAAAACCTTGAGAAGATGAACTCAAACCATAAGGCCTCTAAGCAGCTCATAGGCTAAACAAGATAGAAGCCTTCTAGTAGCAGGATAATGTTGGGTTTACACTGTTAACTAATGAGAATTGAAGCTTTTTTTCCAGAACATAAATAAGTTTTGTAGAACAAAAAGGACCATGACCATGAAATGGAAGAGTGTAGACACCTCCGAAGCATGGTGAAAGAGTTTTAGAATTTTAATTTTTAAAAATTATGTTTTAATTTTGAAAATACAAGACCGAACAAATCTCATATATGCAATAGTTTAAATAAACGAGTACAACGGCGCAAGAGATGTACTTATCCCGATGAATAGAAACATTACTTGATAGTGAGATTTGATGAAATAAACTGTAGAATTTATGACATCCATTTTGGTCAGTTAAAACTTTTATGCTGACCGACAAATTCTTCTATTTAATATAAAAGATTAAATGAGTTTATATTAAGCTGGGTAGTAAAGTTCTCTATAGAGGCAAACCCCTATAGTTAATTACATCTAAGTGATCAAAGTTGCTTAAAAATACTCTTGATTCAGATCAGTAATTTTGCCTTGAAGAATTTCAAAGTTTAAGTTTTCAAGATTAGACATTGAAAATTTAAAAGGGAACAGATCAAGTAGGAACAATTATTTTCAAGAATCCAAAGGAATGAAAGGTAGGAGATGTCACTGATCAGAGGGGAACCTCAGCGACTTCCAAGCTATTTTGCTTCAATTTTGAAAAAATGTTATTTGATGTTTCATCCTACCAATTTTATTATTTAAGGCTTACACTTGCATGGCACAGTCACACAAATAGCCTGGAAGATAGGAGGGTATATGTTGTAACAACCGACAACCTCAGAGCCACAAATAGCCTGGAAGATAAGAGGGTATATGTTGTAACAACCGACAACCTCAGAGCCTAAAATGAGTTAGGGCTTAAATTGCATGACATGATTGTGCAAATGCCTAAGGATAAGTTGAAGATTTATGTCATACTAGACGGGCCAACTCAAAATTATATGGCTTGTTATTTAATTTGAAGGAACGGTGTTAGCTCAAAGCTCCTCATTGAAGTGATAGATCCTAGTTCAAGGTTTAAGGTTTTACAGTTTTCATGACAAGTTTTGTTATCATTTAAGTGTCATGAGGGGTTAAAGTTGATTAGAGCGACACCGGTTGGGATCTCACAGTTCTCTCATTCCGGTACCACTATTTTCTTTTGAATTTACTTAGTTTAAACAAGTTGTTAACTCATTTAAACTGAGGAGATCTTGTTAGCAACCATAGGCTAGCTTATCCGAGGGACTCTCATAAATTCAAAAGGACTTATTATGTTGTTTATTTATTTTGAAAGTGTTCATGTTTAATTTTGAAAAAGTTTATCTTAATTTTGGAAATTGGTTTTTTTGATTTTTTTTTGAAGTGTTCCGACCAAGCATACATAATACATTAAAGAAGTAGTAAATTGAAGAAGTAAAATAACAATAAATAAACTTTAAATGTGTACCTGTCATCTTCTCGCTGCTCCCGCTGAATGTTAGCTGGAAAGATGGGTAGCAACTCTACAGATGGAAGGGTGAGCATACCATGGAAGTAGCAGCTCGATAGATGGGTATGTCATTGAAGTAATGACCCTATGTATGGGCATGAAGTAAAGGTAGTGGTCCAAAAGTTGGGTATGCTATATAGGGAGTGACTCGAAAGGGTCTGCATGTCGTAAAGGCAGAGGTCTGACATATAGATATGCCATGAAGGCAGTGAACCAAAAAGGTGGGATTGTCGTGAAGGCAGTCACCCGACTGATGGGTATGTTAAGGAGGCATTGGCTCGAAGGGTGGGCATGTTGTGAAGGCAATATCTTGAAAGATAGGTATGTCATGGAGGTAGTGACCCAAAAAGGGTGAGCAATTTCGTAAACGCTACTGCCCAATAGATAGGTATGTCATAGAGGCAGTGACCCAAAAGGGTAGGCTTGTTGTGAAGCTAGCAGCCCAGCGATCCCTGGATACTGCTAATATGCACAGTACAACAATAATTCAGATTATATTTCACTTATATTTCCTAACTTTGCAACAAAACTAAAAACTTGATCCTGAAGAAAAATAAGAATTTAACTTTTAATTTATATATATTAGGATACTATGAAAGTATACTTATCGTTATCAAGTAATATGGGATTTTTTAATTAAGACCTGAATATCAAACCCACAGAGAGAATACATAATATGCACTATTGAACAACAAATTTTCTATTTTTAATAAAAAGATAATTATCTAAACTAAAGTTGATTTTTGCAGTAATAAAAATTTAAATATTTTTGCTATTTTCAAAATTTTGATAGAACAATAACAATTTGAAAAGATAATTAGAGTTTTTGTAGAAGAAAAAACATTAAATATGAAAATATCTTTCTTCTTGTAGAAAGTTCCAACAAATCAACTCCACCAATTCTTGCAAGAATCAATGCCACAAAAATCACAATAAGACTCTCTTTAAAACAATCTTCCATAAAAACCAAACATAGCCATACAAAGCTGCACCGAAGACCTACTAAGTAGGGAAGATACTAGCTCTCACTCTAGTGTTCCCTTGATTCCTTCCACTTGGGGGCTAATATTCTCGTATCAGAATCTAAAATAATAAACCAAGTTGGGGGTTTTAACCTGTCACTTTAAAGTCCTCTAACTCTACACCATTCAATGAATATTTCCCTATTTATTGCACTCAATCATATGAACTACATTCTCATTCATACAACCTCATGTGATTCTTTCCAATTGTTGACTGTGACATTACTAGCCCGGTGCTCACATGTTCTCACAACAAATTTTAACATCTGGATTGGCCAAATCAATAAGTAAATGAAGTACATGGATTTAAATCATCACAACTTCTTCCAACGTTAAAGATCAATACTCTCCACAACTTCCATCCAACACTTAATTACTTATCATTTTAAGAAGAAAGATAAAGAAAACTACTCAGAATC